AGACTAGCTGCTCTGTGTTGTGTTCCTCAAGCACTTAGCCATTGAATGTTGTCAAAACACCCTTTACAAATTTACCTCCACCCCTTCTTTTTATTTCTGCTACCACTATCCACATTGGGATCCTATACATTTATGCTGCATTAGGATTGAAACCCCCTAACCCCTCTACTGCTGATAGATGTTCCAATTTCTAACTCATCCCATATATACCAACATATTAATCTTCTCAAGTATTGTTTTGATTACATCATTCTTTGAGTATAAAGCTTTTAAATGTTTCCCCATTGTGCCTTATGGCATCTGATTAGACTGGCATTCAAGGACTGCCCCCTCCAATCTGGGCCAAATTGACCATTCTAGTCTTTCTAACCTTATGGTTAGCTCCTCCTCAGCAGATTTCCATGTCTCAGCAAAACTGGATCACGAGCTGTTCCCACTGTAGTGCTTCCCTGCCCCTGAGCCTCCCTTATGATTCAGCTCCTATTACCCAAACCCTTCCTCCTCCTCAGGCACTATTCTGCAATGTTCCTAACACACCTGGATTTCCACTCTTTCTTCTCTTTCTCTTTCTGACTGCAGTGCCCTTCACTCCTTTCTTCACGACAGACACCCCTTTATAGTGCAGAAATTCACATATGAGGTATTTCAAGCCCATGGATGATTATGTTTTAGAATAAAAAGATCCTCCTGAGTCTCAGGAAAAAAAGTTAACTTTCGTCAACTCAACAAGATCTAAACTCTGGACCTTAGACTTAAAAGCCTCATCCATTTCTTTAAAGTAAACCTATTTTGACTATGTTTTGAACACTGATGTCTGACATCAGAATGCCATTTTAACAGTGCCCGTTGTAAGGGCTCACGGTCCTGACAGATCTTAGTTATCTAGCTGTCTCCTTCTTTCCCTGTGGCAATATGATAGTAAGCCCCAGTATACTTGAAGGCCACAAAATTAGAGTAAGAGGGACTTGTTACATAAGGTTTAGAATGTGTCTGGTTCAGATGCTGTTACTAAACCAAGTCTACTTGGCCAATATTACAGAAAGCTCAAGTTCATGCCTTTGGTCACCCACTTGTCCCTCTGGACAGTACTTAAATGAACGTGGGCAGTATTTGTCTCTGTGACTCTGTTTCCACAGTTAACCAACTGCCATATTCTTCTGTTGAAGCATCTACTTTTATTTATGTTACTGTCATTCATGCGGATTCATTTGACTATCCTCATATTGTGCAGACCTCTCTCTCTCTCTCTGCTAAGGGACTCTTTGTACCAGTGCTTTGATCCACTCTTCAGTGACATTTAATTCTTAGAAGGTAGTCTCATTCCCTTATTTAACAAGATCTAAGGAGACACTTCACTCAGCTAGGCTCCAGGTACTAATGGCATACAGTTCTTAGAAGAAATTTTTCTCTTACAGTAGTTTGGTCATAATTTTATTATGGCAAGTATCACATTGATTTATAGTTCTACAAATGAACCTCATAAAAAAAACAAAACTGTGTGCTCCTTGAGAGCAGGCATCGTGTAGCTACTGCATCCCACAAAAATTAATTAAACACCTGATTTATTTCAGGTATACTTATCCTTGGGGGCTAGGTAACAATGTAAATATATTCAAGTTTTGTGGAGTTACAGAAAGTTTTAACTAACCCAATAATTACAGCACACTTATTCAGAACAATTAAATATGTGTTAGTCTAAACAGAGGTTTTACTTAAAATTACAGTTTTTATAAGACTATAAAATGATTTTTAAAGAATTTTCCACTCCTAATTCTTTCTTTCCCAGTGGCTTCCTCTTAAATTTAAAATATTTTTTAAAAAATTATTTCTCATTTTAATGCCATGCTAATACTCATGATTGGTGAAAATTAAAAAGCAAAAAAATTTAAAAATATAATGACATACCCTTTGCCATAGTTTTACCTCTTTGGTCAGAATTTTGAATAGTTTAAATTAATGATTTAAAATAATAATTACTCTAATAAACTCATTTTCCCCATAATGTTTTCTTTTAAACATCATCAGTGAAAATAACCAATTACACATACAATTTTAGGGCAAAATTGAAAGGTTAATAGCTGTTAAGAAATTAAGTAGAGAAATGTTTATTACTACTAATGAATGGCTGTTGGTGTCAAGTGAATCTTCTGTTCTAGTCAGGTGCCTTATGTATCCATCCCAAGCCTTTTTCCACACCCTGGGTAAAAATTACAGCCATAATCAAATTTATCTCAATTTTTATTCTGAATTTTGATCCCAAATTTCTTAATACATTTACATGACAGCATTTTAACACTTCTTAAATATTGGTGTCAGTATGGATATTCATTCTGATATTCTTTCAGCTTTACTGCGTGTTTGACAATTTTGAAAATAAAAGTTAAGAGTGAAGTTTTAAAAAAAAGTCACATATAAATATTACATTTTAATTCAGTCCTAGGGAGGTACTGCTACTATATATCTATATTGCTGTATACTTATATACCTTGAAGTATTAGGCTACTATATAACATGTACTGTGTCTTTTAGAAATTGTGAATGCTTCATAGTTTCCTAGTAAAGTCTGTTATTACTTTTAAATAAATATATAAATTTAACTTTCTCCTTCTGTTTTTTTTTTTATAAATGTTGCCAGAATTTGACTAAAATGTGACTCTGATTTTTCCATAGCAGCAGAATAAACTAGCATTTCTAGTGCTATGATGACAGAGCACAAATCTTTATTTTAGAGAGCATCCTTTTGACACACTGAGTTGGGCTTTGCACAAAGTCAGTGGGATGGTAACTGTTGCTGGTTGAACAGAATTGGCTTCCATGCTGCCTCCTCGAATTCAGGCTCTCCCCGTCTTCCCTGGTAGGGCTCCTGCTTCAGCAGTCCGGTGGACTGTGCTGTGATCACAGAGGCTGGGAAGTCCTGAGCTCCTTTTTCCCACTGCTGACTCCTCTGTCTAGATGCTGTGACGCCTCAGCTTTGGGGGCTCATGCTAGAAGACCCTTGCCTGGCCAGATTTGAGGAAAAGTCACTTTAGGGGAAGTACTGAACTGTAAAATCAGTGAAAGGAGTATGGCTCTTCCTTGCAGTTGCTTTCAGGCTTTTAGGCCTGCTCCCATTTCTTTCTTCCTTCCTTCCTTTCTCCTTTTTCTTCTTTTCTTTTTCTTCCTTTTCCTTCCTTTTTCTTCCTCTCTCCCTCCCCTCCCTCCCTCCCTTCCTTCCCTTCCCTTTCCTTCCTTCCTTTCCTTCCTTTCCTCTTTCTGTATTAGGGTAAAAGCTATTTTAAAAAGCAAAGAGGGGCACCGGGGTGGTGCAGTCAGTTAAGTGTCTGACTCTTGGTTTTGGCTCAGGTCATGATCTCAGGGTCGTGAGATCCAGCCCCATGTTGGGATCCACGCTGAGCACGGAGCCTGCCTCAGATTCTCCCTCTTCCTCTGCCCGTCTCACTCATGCTCTCTCTCTCTCTCTCTCAAATAAATAAGTATTTATGGGATATCTGGGTGGCTCAGTCAGTTAAGTGTCTGCCTTTGTCTCAGGTCATGGTCCAAGGGTCCTGGGATCGAGTCCCACATCGGGCTCCCTGCTCAGCGGGGAGTCTGCTTCTCCCTTTACCTGCCACTCCCCCTGCTTGTACTCGCTCTCTCTCTCTCTGACAAATAAAATCTTAAAAATCAATCAATCAGTCTTTGAAAAAGCAAAGATCCGACTTACACAGAGCTGCTAAAAGGCTTTGATTAAATTATAAAGATAAAAACATAATCCATTTTTGTAGTTGTCGTAGTCCGTTCGGGCTACCGTAACAAAAATATCACAGACTGAGTAGCTTGGCAGCTTAAATAGCGAACATTTATTTCTCACAGTTCTGGAGTCCAAGATCAAGATGCTGGCAGATTCAATGTCTGCTGGAACTCCCTTTCTGCTTTATAGACACCTGTCTTCTCACTCTCCTGACATGGTGGCAGGTACAGGAGAGCTCTCTGGGGTCTTTCTTTATAAAGTCACTATTCCTATTCATGAGCGCTCTGTCCTCATGACCTAATTACTTCCCAAAGTCTCCACCTCCAAACACCATCACATTGGGGGTTAGGATTTCAACAAACAAAGTTTGAAAGGACACAGACATTCAGTCCATAACAGTGGTGTATAAGTACCTTCAATCATATAGTACAATGTAAAAGATACAGGAAATAATTTATGCAGTTTCTCTTCTGAGTTGTCAAACATGCATACTAGTTCAACAAATTTATGTCGCAGCCATAATAGAGCCTAAACATTCCCCCAGATGTTGGGTAATCGGGAGTAAATCAACAGTTCTTGAAACATAGAGTTTTAGAACTTGATAAAATGCAAGATCTTCTCTGGTTTATTTAATGTATAACAGAGGTCAGTGAGACTCCGAATTGTTTCAGCGGCTTCCCCAAGGTCACTTGTGATAGACCAAGCAAATGATATATTGGTAACAACTATTAGTACAGTCTGCAAAAATTAAGGCCTTCATAAGGTAAAGCTGTCATACTAAACAATAGTATAGTGCACACAATATATTGTATGTAACATTTTATACAAAATGAACACTTTTCCTTAGGCTGCAGAAGGATAAGGGCCAAAAGCATTTATTCATAACATCAGCCTCTCTTTTTTTCTGAAATCCACTTAGCTCATTGCTTTTGACAGATTTTGTAGACTCAAAAATATATATTCCCTAAGTGATCATTTCCCTTGATTTCCTCAATTCAAAGTTTTCTAGCTCTGTTGAATTTTATTAAAAACATATTATAGAACTCCATTAATTTATTTTTTTTTTAAATTTGAACTCCTTCTTAGCTTTTCTTCTGTTGGAAAAAGTAAATCTTCCTGTATCTATGTAGGCAATTACCAAGGAAGTCCGAACCCTTTCAAATGGTGCTTAGTATTTTGAAGCATAAAAGGTATAATATTCAGTTTTTCAATTTTGAGGATGATAATGACAGTTCTGTGACTACAGAACATTAACCCAAGGTATACTTACATTTCATGAAGTATCTAGGTCATATAAAAGCATATTGCTAATGGCTTTCTTTCCTAATGGATTACAATGAGAAAAATAAGATAGGGTTCAAAATTAAAATTCTGAAGATTGTGAAGCATGTTTCTAAGGTAATGCAGGTATTGAATATTAACATTGTGATAAACATTTTCTATCAAATCTATCTTCAATTTTCAGCTCTTTTCATCTTATCACTGGTTTCTGCCTCACTTTTTTTTTTTTGTATTTTAGTGCATTTATAAATATGAACATTACAATGAGAATAATGGAGCTTCATAATCTTCAGTCATTATCACTCAGTGGAATTTAGATACTTTCAATATGAATATTACTATCAGACTCATTTTCTCAGGACACTATTTTGACCAGATATTTATTTTTTCAGGATTTATATTGCACTCCAAATCAAATCTAAACATGTGTCAGATTTTCAAGATCTTTCATAACCTGTATAAATCCTAAGTCTATTCCATATTCATAAGGAATGACCTTTGTGTTTAATTTTAGGTTAATTCAATAAACATTTTTAAAAATATTACTATCATCTTCATTCTGATCTTTGTCTCTGTCTTTGCAATGCTGGTCCTCCAGCTTAGATAGCTAAAAGTAATCTTTACTCATTATTTAAGGCTTATCCATGAAGCTCTGTTAGTCTTTTTCCTTCTGCTGTGGACCCACCCCTAATAACCATACACATATAGAGCATGTTTTTTCTTTCTCTGAATTACGATTACAGTATATTACTTAACAACTGATTATATAATCTCCTGAATGGCCTTATATGAGAAATTCATTGTCAGTATTCATATTATTTTAACTTAGTGTGACCTGCAGTGTCTGGGTCACTTTGGGAGAATTTGCTACTGTGAGTAAGCTGAGAGAAAACCAATGACCTTGAGTCAGGTTCTCTGAAACTACTAAAAGATGTGAGGTTTCAGTCAAATCTTAAAAATGACCCAGGATATCTTTCTAAAAATTTTCTAAGTCTCATGTTGCTGATAAATGCATTTATTTGTTTAGTTTTTCAATTTACAAAGCAAGAATAAAACAGGAATTAATGAAGAAGCAAAATAAGAATTTAAAGAGTATATAGCATGATAGTTTAATGAGTACCATTTCATGTGACTGGTTTCTTTATTGACTTATAAAATCAATTGATGTACCTTTTGAAAAGCCTTATGTTAATTAGGTATATAATTTTTCTTTCATTATAGATTGTCATTTCTACAGCACAGTGTGATTTACTTAACTACTTGGGATTGTTATACTTTCAGATCAGGTTGGCATATCTCCTTAGTAATTATTATTCCTTTCCAGGAATATAACCCCCATAAGAAAAAAAAAGCACTACATTTTATTTTGCCTTCCTTGGCACAGCTGAAATTTTCTGTAGACTTTAATTTTCCACCTCATGAGGATGCAGGAAACCTGAAGTCCTGATAAGCTACCTGACTCGGTTGACATCAGATAAGCTTGTCAAAGATGTATAATCTAGTCTCTTGGATCCTGATCCACTGTATTATCTGTCATGCAAGAGAGACTGTAATTTGTTCTACATTTAGTATGCTAGAATCATCCATTGGCTGACTGACTTCAATTACTTTTTTGCAAACAGAAACCTTTATTTATCCTGGTAATGTGTTTTATTTATTTCCAAAGTCTTAATTAATTTATTACATGAGACTCTAGCAAATAAGAGATAAATTCTTTAGATGTGCTGATTAATTTCTTAGACAATACATGTTGTATAATAATGTTTTCTTATTTAAAAAAAAATTCTAGTTAAAAAAAATAGTGTCAGACTGCTTCAGACCTAAATTTTTAGAAGTTATTCTGTAAAATAAGTTTATAATACAGACATTTTCTTTTCCTTATCTCAAAGTTCTACATCGTCATTCCACTTGTCATTTCAGAGTAAATGCATTAATTAATAATTTTGATGTGACTTGAAGGTTTTTTCTCATATGTAGTTTTATAAAGAATATGCACAAGACATGCATGAGTTTGTTACCACTATCTTTTTCATTGTTCTGGCACCTCATACCATTCATAAATAAGAAAAGGGTCATGTAAAGCTGCTAGAATGATTGAAATTGTTCTTCCTAGGAAAAATCTGATGAAGTATGTTTCATTGGTAGTTTGAAGAATGTCATCGACTTGTATAATTTGGGTATGGTCCAGTTTTTTCTTACAACCTCTCATTAGAGTAAATAAAAACAAGTTTACATATCATCCATGACTTTCTTCATCTTCTAACATATTCACAGTTATGTTCATTACATTTTCCTGGTTATCGTTGCCATGTGTCTCTTCCATCCCCTCTCGTTTCTTGACAGTTTTTGTTCCTTGGTCTCCATCACTCTTTCCAGTGCTACTCTCATCTCCACTATCCATGAAGAGATGCTTCTAAGATCAATCCCTTGCCTCCCATGATCTTGTCCTACATATACCTCAGCCATTGACTCTTGGTCATATCCTTGATAACAGCAAGCATAGCCTGTAACTGCAGATCCTCTAGAACCTAACTCAGGTATCCCCATCTGATTGTCACTTCCCTTTGGTACTTGCTAGTATCCAGTATTCCTTTATTTATTTATTTTTTAAACTTTGTGCTGTGAAAGTTTCCAAAAGTAGAAAGTAAGTACGTAGAACGCTCATGTTTTCCCAATTTTGTTTCATTGACTATCATGTGAACTAAATACAAGGCAACCTATTATTTCAACTGTAATTACATTAATATGTATATTATTATGTATATTTAAAGGATAAGACTTTTATTATTATTATTATCATATATACTGTCAAAAAGTTAAAAGTAATTTCTTAATATTTGTTTTTTAACCCCATCAAGACCTCACAGATTCATTGATTCCTCTCTCATTTCACTGCCTCCCACATCCATGACTCTTTCCTCTCTTTGTCTAGTTTAAATCCCATGACCAGTCACTCTAGCCACTTCACATTACCTGCACCTTCAGTTCCGTTTCCTTCTCTCACTCCATTATACTCTCATGGCTGTAACTACATCTGTGGTTAAGTCAAACTCTCTGCCTGCTCCATGCTGGAGCAGCTCATTAAAGCTGGAGAATAACTCACAACCACATTGACTGTTCTCATTTTAAATTTATGATCTAGTGAGTCCTTAATACAGCCCTGTAATTTTATGGTATTTCTGTAGTTCATTCTGTTTCCTGCCATCCTAGATGATTGCTTAATACCCCTTTTGTCATCTTCTATCTAACACATCTCCCATAATCTAGGGTCTTCTCAGTTGAAGCCCTTGCTTCCCAGTTTATGGAAAACACTGAAGCATTCACAAGAGAGCTTGCCCAGCACCACCGCCACACCTGCTTTTCCTCCCGCATCTGCACCCTTGGCCTTCTGTCTTGATATTAGAGATGATCTTTTCCTGGTCTTTATTCTCTCTGCTCTCATTACTTTATTTTACATTAGATTTGCTCTTTTATTTCCTACTCAAAGACACTGCTCCAGAAATTCTTTCCTTCCCCACCCACCTCCTACCATCTCCTACATCTTTCAGTTTCACTCATTCCATTAGCATACAGACATGCCGTTATTTCTGTCACCCTAAAACAACAAAAAAGTAAAACTCCACTTGATCCAGCTTTCCCCATGGCTACATCTTCATTTCTGTGCTTCTTATTATAGCCAACTTACTCAAGAAGAGTTGCCTATTCCTGCTATTTCCAGTATCTGTCTTCCCGTTGCCTCTTAAACCCCTTACAGTAGGGCTTTTGTTCTCACCACTCCACTAAAACTATAGCGTCCTTTGCTGGTAGCTTCTCTTGTCCCAGGGCACAGTCTTCGATCTCCTTTCCTTTATCCAGTCTCCCTTGGTGACTTGGATTTAATTGTCATCTCCACACAACTGACACCCAATTGATATCTCTGGCCAAGTATCTTCTTTACTTAGCATTCCACTTGGCCCCTCAAACTTAACTAGCCTTTCTAATCTTCTACCTAAAATTTTGTGTCGCTGCATTCTTCCCGATCTCAGTTGATGACAACTTGGTCCTTCAGGTTGGTGAGGCTAAAAATTTTAGAATCACCCCCTGTTCCTGCTTTTCCTCTCACATGCTATGTTCAATCCATTCAGAAATCTTTTGGCTCAAAGGTATCCAGCATTTGGCCATTTGTCTTCATCATTGGTGGTGACTAGGACCAGGACTATCCTTCTCCTAGCCACCATCACCCCTCACTTAAATTGCTCCAGTAGTTCTAACTGGCTGCCTGTTTCCACCCTGGTTCGCACCCTTAGAATCAACAAAGTAGCCAAAACAATCCTTTCAAACATAAATCAGATCATATTATTCCCTCAACTGAAAAACTTCTCATAGCTTACAGTCTTATTCAGGACAGAAGGCTGAAGGCTTTATAATACCTTCAAGGCATTGTGATTTCATGTCACTTCCACTGTCTACTTGCTCTCTTGAATATGCCAGGCAAACTCGTTATGTTGGGCCTTTGCACTGCTGGTATCCCCTGCCAGGAACACAATTTCTCAGGATATCCATGTTGATGACTAACTCAATTCCTTTTTATGTCTTTGCTCAAAGGACACTTTCTCAAAGAGACCTACCTAGAAAGTCCCAAACCCTACCTTCTCAATTTCTGGGGGCTCATGATCCCTCTTATTCTTTTCTATTTTTTCCCCAATAAGCTTCTCATCTTACAGGGGTGCCTGGGTGGCTCAGTCAGTTAAGCATCCAACTCTTGATTTCAGCTCAGGTCATGATCTCAGGGTCATGATATTGAGCCCTGCATCATGCTCCATGCTCAGTAAGGAATCTGTTTATCCCTCTCCCCTAACCCCTCTCCCACTCATGCATGCAAAAAAACCTTATAGCTTATTACCAAGTTTATCTATTTCTTGTATTTATTGCTTGTGGTTTCTTCCCTGACCTAAAGTATGATCTTCACCAAGGGCAGGGATTTTGTGTTCTTGTCAGCACATAGTAGGTGATCAGTTGAATGATTTCACCCTGCTTTCAGCATTATTTCACTCCACTGCTTCTCAGAGTCAATAATGGTTCTGTTGCCAACAGTTAACTTGGACTCTCTTCATTTTAGGGGTCTGTTCTTTAGGAAATTTCTGTGTTTATCTTCTTAATCATTCTGCCTTTTGCTTATTCTGCTTATTTTGTCTGCTAAGCTTATTTTAGGCACATGTATTTAATTTTCTGATCTTCAAGTCTGTATCCTTTCTCAGCTTTGGCTGCTTCCTAGCTATATTTCTATAAGATTTTTTTTCTCTTTCCCAGTACCCCAAAACATTTATTACTAACAGCTAGTTTTCCCTAGAAATGTTTCCCACAAAAAATTGTAACACTGGTTTCCGCCTTCTGTCTACCCGTCTCCTCCCACTACCCTACTTGCATCCTTGTGACTATGCTTTGGGTTCGTCCTTTGCTCAGCATCCTACTGAAATGCAGATTCCCTTTGACTTAAAGCCAGTATGAAATTACTTAGTTCTGCAAATCTGTATGTAGTCACTTGTTTATTTTCAGTATACTTTTGCATCTCCTATTTTAAGAAACTGCACACACATTGTGTATACATTTATAAGTGTTATGTATTTGATTATTTTCTATTTTATCCAATTATTATTGAAAGCAAGCAATTTCTAAACCTTTCCCTACTGGGTATCTATAATTGTTTTACATTTTTATCTTTAATAGGTCATTGCTTTAGTGATGGATATATTTACAGATGTGGACATTTTCAAAGAAATAGTGGAGGCATCAACTCGAGGGATATCTGTATACATTCTGCTTGATGAATCCAACTTTAATCATTTCCTAAATATGACTGAAAAACAGGGCTGTCAAGTTCAACGACTCAGGGTAAGAATTCCATGTTTGTTTGTTTTTTCTTCAAGTATTTTGTGTACCATTTTTATCTCAGTTGAATTTAAGGCAAGTTAAGCTATAGCACTCCAAAAATAAAAATATATACATATATGCATAAATATATTTAAGATGGTATAATGATTGATCACAGAAGGGTACCCTTGTACTTTTTTGGAATGTGACTGAAAACACACATCTTCATGATGGTTTTAGAAGGTGCTTTTCTTGATAATGGGGCGCTTAAGCTTCTGGGTTAACTTTGCTCAGTCATAATAAATGCTTCGGTTTCTCCATGAATACCCTTGAAACCACTGACTCGAGTGATTCTTTGATTCAGCAGATGTTGCTTATCACAAACATTAGGCATAGTGTTTTCAGTTACATTTGACTTCTTAAAAAGGAGCATGGATTTTAATTGTAGTTATTGTGAAATCATGCTACTATAACCTGAAAGGCTCTCTTGCAATAGGATCGTAGGTGATTTATGAAACCATTCCGTGTAAATGTGAAATAATGCCTCCTATTTATGTTATGTTAAAATACATATTTAAAGTGACTGTTTTTCTTGAGTATTTCTTTTTTGGGTGACATCTTAAAATTTGCTTTTACCATTTTTTGTTGTTGCTGTTACGTGTTTTAAAAGATTATTTCAAGTATACATTTTTGGTACTAAGATTTTATATTGACATGTATTTCACTTTCAAAATATCTCTTTTCTAGTTATAATTTTACTTTATATTTACATGTAATTATAGAATATTCAAGTGCGGACAGTAAGAGGCCAAGATTATCTTTCCAAAACAGGAGCAAAATTTCATGGAAAATTGGAACAGAAATTTTTGTTAATTGACTGCCAGAAAGTTATGTATGGGTCCTACAGGTAAGATCATTGTGTTTACCTCCAGCATTTTCAGTCATTTATAGAATTTATTAATTTTAAATTTTAATATAATCTATTTAGCTATTTCTTAGAAATAAAAAAGAACCTTTGCATGGAAGCTTGGAGACTTGGGTTTCAGTTCTGGTTGTGCCTCTAAAGAACATTAAGACATCGGGCAAGTCATAAAACTTCCTTGGGTTCCAAGTTCTCTGTCCCCAAAATGGGGAGTGGGGTGTTGACTAATATTTCAGGTTCCCTACAGTTCTGTAACGCTAGGAGTGGTTTTGCTCCTTACGAAAACAGTCGTAGTATGGGCTTAATAATATCAGTTGCTCATAAAAATAGAAGCGCTTTATCAGTTGGAGCAACCTGACCTATGGATTGTTCTTATTTTAGTATTATTAAGAATCTGATAGTTATCATCATGTAGCCACTATATATAGTACTAACCCAAAAAAGCATTTCAGAGTCAGGCTATTAAAAATGCCATGGTAGACACTAGACAAGGTCACTCGGGTTACTATTATCTGACATCTTTCAAGGCGACCACCGGTTGGAATCCCTACTCTGTTCCAGCTTGGCTCTTCCACATATATCATCCCCCATCCTTACCACTTATACAGGGTATAAGGGCACTTGTTCTCATCTACATTTATAACGATGAAAGTGAAGTTCCAGAAGGCTAAGTGACTTGTCTGAAAACTCCACAGCTAAAGGTCAGAAGCAGTCGAGGACTGGCAGCCCAGTCCAAGTTCTGCTGGCTCCAGAGTTCAAGCGCTTCTCTAATACTCTCTGATAAATTCCGGCCATCAGTCCTAAATGGGCTACACAATAAGGTCGTATCACCAGGCAGATGAAAATACCAACCAGCACCTGTGAACTGCTAAGTCACCAGGGCAGCACAGACTCATTACTAACGACCGTGGGAAGGAGCCAGGAGAGCTGTGGGGGTAAACAGGACAGTGTGAGAGGAAACATCTGCCTCTTAAGAACTGAAAAAGTCCACGATAAGGAGACAACGAAACGTGTTGAAGTGATTGGCCATGGGCAAGTTACTCAACTTGGTTGCACTTCAGTTTACTCCTCTGTAAAGTAACGATGATCCTAGAGCCTACCTTGTGTCATCGTAAGAATCAAAGGAGTCAATGCAGCATAGCCCCTGAAGTCAGCTATTACCTAGGCATGCTTTAGCTGTTACTATCTGCTAATTTTCCCTCTAGGCTCTGGGACCTTTTTTTGAAAGTGCCTTTTAGAGTTCTAAAGGAAAACTTGTTAAGAGCCGAAATTACAACCAGTGCTTGAAATTAACGAGTCCTCTTAAAGACTCATTATACGTGTATGTATTTGTTCAGACCCACTTGGTTTTACAGGGTTTTTAATTGAAATTTTAATTAAAATTAGGCGTTCACTTGACTTATAGAATGGTATTTATCAAATATTTTTAATATCTCCTACTTGGACCATTTTCAAAGCATCCTGTTTGTGTTTTATAGATGCATCATTTTCTCTATTTCTTTGAGGATATTAATTATAGTTTTTTTGTAGCTCTGTTTTTATACGTATTCTTATCTGTGCAATTTCTGTTTCCTCCAGCTGCCTGTTTCCTGCTTGTTTTGGTCTGTTTTGCATCTAAACTTTTAAGCTTTATAAACCATCTTCTAAACTGTCTTCAAATGTCTGCTGATCTTTTGCTGTGTATTGTTAAAGAATGAGGGACTCTAACGCTTATTGGAAATTGCATGGGAAATGTTTATCAAGAGCTGAGTTTACAGGAGAGTGATTGGCTGGAGTCTTGACAGTTTTATTGAAAGTTTCCTGGATGTCAGTAAAATAGCTCTTTTATTTGGGGCTGTTAGTGTTTCCAGAGAATAATCTCTACACTGAATATATATAATTGGATGTCTTCCTGTTGCCTGAAGTGATATCACAATATTGTTTTTGATTGACCAAAGCAGGGAAAGTTCTCCAGTTGCAACATATTCACCAGTACCATTATCTTTTCAGTTTCCTGAGGTCAACACCTGGAGCTTATTTTTATTTAATAACCTATACACGTTCAAGTTCTTGTTACTGCCTCAACATTTTTACGCTTTATTCCAATTTCTACTCTCGTGTGGGCTCTTATCACCTTACTTCAATTCTTTTACCCATCACAGTAAATTCAGTCCCTCATCTTTCAAGTCTGTAGTACAAATACCTACTGGAAAAAAATCACTCCTCAAACATCTTTTTATGGTAATTTATCTGAATTTGACAAAAAATTCGTACACAAACTCTCTGCTTTGCTTTCAAGATTTTCCCCACCCATTCATCAGTCTCTTATATAACTTCTTTACTTCCGCTAAATGTAATTTCTTTTCTGTGTTCAACCAAAACATGGCCATTCTTACTTCCTTCTTACTCCCATATGTCTCTCCTCCCACACAAACTGTTCCATACCTTTTGTGTTTTAACTTCTGGGTTGTCTAGTTTCTGTCAAAATACAGCTAAACTTCCATTTGTCTCTGGGGATTTTCTCATATGTCATAGTTGACTATTCATTCCTCTACTGGCTATTTCTCACAAATTTTGTATTCAGTTCTTCAGTGGGGTTGAAAATTCCTGTAGTGATTCACTTTGTATCACTTATTTTAAGTCAACCTGTGGCCCACACGTCTGTACAAAAAGAGCACTTAGTGAGTTACTCTTTTCATACCATGCATCCAGTAAACACACTAGATAAAATAATAGGACTCTTAAGTTGTACTCTCTTGTTTATGATATTTTGTGTATTTTAAATTCATACTCTGTACATTCTTTTAGTATTTCATCTGCCTTTGTTATTGTGTCCCCTCTATAAAAAGCAAGCTCCTTCATTGTGGAGAATGTCTGTCTCCTTTTTCCTTTATTAACCCCTATTATATCAGGAACAGTATTTGATAAATAGCATATTAGCAATTCCTTTTTTGGCTCAATGACTCTGTATGTTACAGTATCTAAATTTTTACAAATCTGACTTAAAATTTTACATGACATTTCAACTGTCACCTCTAAACTGTAGAAGTTCCACAAAGTACTATAAAGTAGTTACAAACTTTAATTTCCTAGAAATTATATTTTATATGAAAAGATCTTAATTGGCATTCTGACTGGCATGGCTTTTGAGGCTAAATTTACCAGTTCTCTGTCCACTGCGTGCATAAAGTAAGCAGTAAGGTGCCCTTTATGGACTGAGACTGCAGCCCACAAATGCTCTCTCTGTTCACAAGCCCTAGCATCCCAAAGTACACTTCCTGAGTAAGCCAAAGAGATAAAATGTATTAGCAAAGACCTATCTTGCATTATAACATGCTAGAACTATAAGGAATGGTAGGATTATGCTAGCATTTTGGAAACTGAGGTCCACACTCATGTGGGTAGATAGCTCAACAAAAGCCAGGTCTCTCAACTTTTCCACTCATACTGGCTTGCCTGCCCTCTGCCAGGCTGCTGTCTATGAAATATAACATTTTCTACACCATAAAATCTTAGGCAGAGATGCAAAATGCATAGCAGGCTTTTCTTTGGACTTCTAGAAAGTAGTGTCAGAAATTATGGGTGAATTCAAAGCCAGGACTTGAGTTGCTTTGTTATTTAAGATACAAATGTGGGAGTAGGGAGATACAGGCTCTGCAAGCATTTAATGACTGAAGATGTTCTAAATTACGGTAGGCAGGGAAAATGAACAAAAATGCTCTTGTTGATGTTAAACAACACATTTTTTCTTAGTCGAGTTATATATTGTCATTAATCTTCTAACAGAAAAATTAAAATTTTCCAATTTTGATTCTTTTTCAGCTACATGTGGTCATTTGAAAAAGCTCACCTCAGCATGGTTCAGATAATCACAGGACAGCTTGTTGAGTCCTTTGATGAAGAATTTAGAACTCTCTATGCCCGATCCTGTGTCCCCAGTTCATTCGCTCAAGAAGAATCAGCAAGGGTGAAGCCTGGCAAAGCACTCTGGGAGAATGGCACCTACCAGCGGTCACTTTCTTCATTAGCTTCCGTTTCCAGCCAAAGAAACCTTTTTGGCAGACAAGACAAAATTCATAAACTAGAATCTGGATACTTCAAAAACAGAGGGATATATACTCTAAATGAACATGACAAATACAGCATAAGAAATCATGGATACAAGCCTCATTTTATTCCAAACTTTAATGGTCCAAATACAGTCCGTCAGTATCAATCCAGTCAGATAAATGAAAATTGGAAGAGGCATAGTTATGCTGGGGAACAGCCAGAAACAGCACCATACCTGCTGCTTAACAGGGCTCTAAATCGAAACATTAATCCTCCAGGTAATTGGAAAAAGCCTTCAGATAGCCTCAGTGTGGCCTCCTCATTGCGAGGAGGCTACGTGAGCCACCAAAACACACCTGCCCAGAGTTTTGCTGATCGGCTTGCCCAGAGAAAAACAGCAAATCTTGCAGAGAGGAACTCAAATGTGCGGAGGTCTTTTAACGGAACAGATAATCATATTCGCTTTTTGCAACAAAGAATGCCAACCCTTGAACATACCACGAAGTCCTTCTTGCGTAACTGGAGAATTGAATCCTACTTAAATGATCATTCAGAAGCTGTACCTGACTCAAATGGATCGGCTCTAGGTGACCGGTTTGAGGGCTATGATAGTTCCGAAAATTTGAAAGCCAGTGCCCATTATACTCATTCTCGGCTTCGTTCCTCTTTTGTGTTTAAACCAACTTTACCCGAACAGCAGGAAGTTAACAGTTGTACGACTGGCTCCTCAAATTCAACTGTCATTGGTTCCCAGGGAAGTGACACACCTAAGGAGGTCCCGGACACCCCTACAAGTGGACAGCACGTGACAGACAAACCCATGCCAGAATCAAGCCCCAAGCTCCCGTTGCAGTCAGAGGCACCAAAAATGCACACCTTGCAGGTTCCCGAAAACCACTCCACAGTCTTAAATCAAACCACAAATGGCCAAACAGAGGCAAACAACTATTTATATACATCCTTGTGTGTAAATAAGCAGACAGAAAATCTAAAGAATCCACAAAATGAGAATCTGCTCAAAAGGCGAAGTTTCCCATTCTTTGACCACTCAAAAGCCAACCTAGATCATGGACATAGTAAGCATTATGTATATAGTACGCTTACCAGGAATCGAGTTAGACAACCAGAAAAACCCAGAGAGGACTTGCTGAAAAGTTCTAAAAGCATGCACAACGTGACCCAGAGCATAGAAGAGAATAGGGAGGTCATAAAGAGACAGCCTCCAAGTGGCACCACGACCAAGTCAATTTCCGTTGCTGCTTTGCTTGACATGAATAAAGATGAACCTGGCAAAGAACTCACTTCAAAGAAGGAAGTTAAAGGCTCTCCGAGTTTTTTGAAAAAGGGATCTCAGAAGTTAAGGTCATTACTTAGCCTTACCCCAGAGAAGAAAGAAAATCTATCCAAAAATAAAGCACCTGCCTTTTATAGAATGTGTAGTAGTTCTGACACTTTAGTTTCTGAGGCTGAAGAGAATCAAAAACCAAAAAAATCAGAACCAAAAATTGATTCATCTCCTAGAAGAAAGCGTTCTTCGTCATCAAACTCTCAAGGCAGTATTCACAAGAGTAAGGAAGATGTAACTGTTAGCTCATCTCAGGGGATAAATTCTCCATCTGATGAAAGTAGCAAAATAATACCTGCTCCAGGTCCAGTTGAAAACAAGTTCTTGGAAAGAGCAGGAGATGCTTCTGCCCCGAGATTTAACACTGAACAGATCCAATACCGAGATTCGAAGGAGATTAATACAGTTCTTGCTCCTGAAAGAAAACCAGCTTCTTCTCCACGGCCAAAGCTCAATGAGCTTCTAAGATCTCATTCAACCGACAGGCGCATTTACAGTCGTTTTGAGCCATTTTATAAGATTGAAAGCTCTATTCAGCCAGCAAGCAACGTACCAAATACTGGTGTGCACCGCCCAGAAATAAAATCCACAACCATAGGCAATAGTTATGGCAGGTCCAGCCCGATGCTTAATTACAACACTGGTGTTTATCACTCATATCAGCCAAATGAAAACAAGTTCCGAGGATTTATGCAGAAGTTTGGAAACTTTATACACAAAAATAAATGAAATACTGTAATTTCAAATAGTTTTTAAAATACAAATGACTATAGCTATAAGCATTTGTCCAAAGAACTTTGTGGACAGTTTTTGTAACATGCCAATAGATTTCTGTAGGGAGAGAGTTTGGGGTATGATGTATATGTTTACCAGTGTACTAATATACAGTAAAGTTGTTCTGTGTGATAAAGTTAGTTGTGCTTAATTACAGTGTAGATGAAATGTCTCTATACACATGATTTTTAAATGGTAATGGTAAATAGAATGTAAATTGTCTTCTTCAGACTGAGGATCTTCTTAAGTCTCAAATAGAAACTTTAGTGGAGAGATGGTGTATGGATTTTAAGCATTCATTCCAAAGTCTTTCCTTTTAAAAAAGGATCCTAATACTATCAGTGGCCCTTTATAATATATCTTTATGGGTTTTCATATTTCCAAATTATGAGAAAAATAGGACAAAGCCTTTTTGGGTTTTAATTACCTTTAAACTCTACAGGACAACTTGTTATATTTTATTAATTTTCCTGTGGAGCATACACAACTGGTTGGGCAGCAACAGGGCAGTTTAAACTATGTAGCTCAGCACATCTTTCATTTTGAGGTGTTTGCAAAGTATCAGCCTCATGTGGTACATGGTAGGAATTTCTTTTCCTCATTTTGTAAAAATCTTTCCACTCTGGACCAGAGGACCCCATGCTGCCCTCACCAGTCAGCTGCTGAACTTATATAGTCATTCCTTCCTTGAAACTTAGAGCAACCAGCAGATATTTGGGAAACCTGAATTACACCTCTCCTCTAAGATAAAAAAGCTTTTAGAAATGTAAACTTCTGCATAAATTTTTATCTTAGAGCAGTCCAACAATGCTTAGGTGTTTTGCTTGCAAAAGTTCTTGCTCTTTTTTATGCTGTGCCAAATGCAGTGTGAGTGCATAGTGTTTTCATGAAAGTACCGTGATGGACATGAGAAGTGGTATCTGGCCTCATTCTTTCATGACCAGAGAGCCCGGTTGAAAGTTTTAAATCTTTCCTATCTTAACTGGATCATCCTCAAGTATTTAGATCATAAGATACTCTTTGCCTTTCTTAAAGTAATGAAATTAAAGCCCCACATCCATTAAAGAGACTTTAACTTGGCTGCACTTCATCCACAAAGGACAGAATTCAAGAAACAACACACCATTTGAGAAGTGTGAGGTATTTCTGTAACTCTTTAAATATATTAACACCTTCTAAGTTGTAATATGGGGCAGTATGTTGTTTTAAAAATTCAAGATTCAGTCAAATAATATCTATTAAGTTAAAATGAGAGTATTAAAATATCAGTCATTAAGATAATATTCCATAGTGTTTAAAAAACACGATGAGAACATGACAAGAGAAAACATGACAGCAGGGAAAAGAAAATCTAACATTTAGTGAGCCCTCGTATGGACCAGGTCTTGAGCTAGAACCTAAAATTCCCACAAGAATTATTTTGTGGGTACCCTTGTCCTCATTATTTGTAGATGATGATTGAGGTGATAAATGAGACTTTGAGACTCAGGTAATGCTCCAAGTCACATAACAAATAAGTAATTGTACTAACGTGTCTGTAACATTGTCACATCCCATTACCTCCCAAATGTGTTCAATATCTGCCTCGCCCAAACTGTTGAGAATTAAATGAGAGAATATTTATATTTTGTGACTCAGTGGTAATCAGCCAAGAAAGCTTTAGTTGAATTCCACCAGACAACAAGGACACGCAGGGCTCAAAATAATCGTAGTAGGTGAGGTAGGGAATGGAAGTGACATTACTTTCTGATTGTAACTTACCAGGACAGTTTTAATTGCTAGGCCACCATTTTGATCTTGTGCTGGCTGCCCTGTGACAATGAAAAGGGAAAGGAAACAAGTTTAACTTGTGTCTGTGCTAGGCAAAGCAGTCCTTTAGGAAGCTAGGCAGGGGATGGAACTCAATGTTAAATATATTACCTTGTTAACTATTCACAATAATGCTGTAAAGTAAATAGTTCCTTTTTGCAAATGAGAAAACTAACCCTTCGAGAAGTTACAGAACTTTCCAAGAGTCACATGGCTCTGCATCGGTAGAACTGGGTTTGAACGCAGAATCGGGTTTGACCGCAAAAGCCTGTACTTTCAATACTACACCACATCATACCTTGCTGGCTTCTACTCCATTATGATGGAGGCAACTTTTCTGAATGTTGTCTCTCTCTTTGCTCTGTCTCTACCAGAATATACCAGAAATATTGCAGTAACTTAAGCCGTTTATGGCATTTTATAAACACAAATCCAGAATATGGACCCAGTTTAACATTATTCATAAAAGCAGGTTTTATGACTCCCATTATAACAGGGAATTCCCAATTACTGCAACATGGGATTTTATTGTTTTGGAAAGCTGCATGTAATCGATTGGAAATTTTGCAGACTTTCTAATGAGGTAATAGCATACAAATAAAACTTTGAGAGAGAACAGTTATTCTTCACAGGAAAAGTAACCACTTGATCTACAAAAGTTTTGCGTTTAAAGAAAAATAACATTGGCTGGAATGGGCATTGGCTTATAATCTGATAAGGAAATTGTATAATCTTTATATATTAGTATCAAATTATTAAAAAGCATTAGAATTGGAGTCCAATGAATGCAAGAGATTTTTCATTTTGCGCTTAGAAAAATTCACTTTTGTAATTCTGGACCATTGTCCTTTACCCACTTACCAAAGACAGAACCCACAGTTACCCAAACCAGATTGACTTTAATATTACCCATTCTTTGTTAGATGGGGCATTTTTCAGGCCTAAGAGGAAAATGTGCTAATTGTCTTTAGGCAACTCTGAAATTGGAAGTCCTAAAATGTAGAGCAAGATAACTTTGAAGGTGAAATTACATAAACTAGTTTTAATCATTTTTAATTACAAGCAAAAGCCTGTTGCCTTTTTGTGCAGCAACCGCCATTTCTGGAAACAGGTCGCTTTTATTTATTTTTTTTATTATTTTTTAAAATTTTATTTTATTATGTTAGTCACCTACAATACATCATTAGTTTTTGATGTGCTGATCTGCGATTCATTATTTTCATGTAACACCCAGTGCTCCATGCTTTTAAATAATAGCTCCTGAATTCCTCCTCTCCTCATGGCATTGAGAAGTGCAGGAGGCTTTGTTTCATTGGCCTGTGACTGGTAGCTTTGACTTTTGCACAGATTTTTTCTCCTCTGCCGTTTGTCTTTATTTTCCTTTATTTTTCCCTCCAGAAACATCTGTGTGTCAGAATCTAGGTGTAGTAACTTTCCAAAGTTTCTGTGGCTGAGAAATTCCTCAGGGGTGAAGGCTGAGCAAGCACATAATACTTCAAATAATTTGCTCAGAGTTTAAGTTCTCAACAGACACTTCTAAACTTCATGGATTTAATCCTTTCAAGCAAAATACTTCCCTTTTCTCCCCATATTAATATTGGTGGAAAGATAATGGCACTTAGATGTACTTTCATAGTAAAGATGGGTAAGGTGGTTTTACTCTCTACATAGTACATTTAGTGTGTAAGCAGAAACTCAAGAAAATAGGTATGAATTCAAAGTAGTTCTTGGCAGATATCTTCAGAATGGTTTAAGTGCCTGTATCCTGAACACGCTGGTGTCTCTCTATTCTAATGATTGGGATTAGCCATAATTCTAATGTGGTGTATCGAGTAATGGGTATATATTGGCAATCTACTTTTATGGAAGCAAATATCTTGTTTAATCAAGATGACATCTAGAGTAATCCAGATAAGCAAGGAAGAAGTTGAACTCTGGCTACATTCAACTTTAACTTTACTCAAGATTATCCAGTTATTCACCTATTATTCAAAAGATATTTGTCATGAAAGACAAATATGACGTAATATGACTATGGCTGAGGAATATAAAGTAGAATCATTGTTTCACATTAACCATGTGTCATACTGTTTAAAAAAATGTTTATTTTAATATTTAGTTTGGTTCTAGAATATTTAAAATGAAAAGGATGAAATTATAAACCAAAGAGTCCATTTTTACATACATAAATGTTATCAAAGAAATATTCTTCCTAAGTAGCTTGGTTTCAGATCTAATAAATGAATATTAAATAATTTTGTACAAGCATCAATGTAAGTTGTTTTTTATCTTCATACCCTGCATTTCTCCACTTAAACACATGCTTTTACTTAGTTTTATATCATTTATATTTGTGCATGTTTTTAAATATTTATGAATTTTGAAATATCTTAAACACTTCATTTTATTTTTGGTTAGCAGTTATATTTCATACAATAATTTATCCATATTTGATACCCAGTGACAATACTCTTCCCTTAAACAATGATATCCTATACCCTCTATTGCTACTGTAATATATAGTTATTTTAAATAACTTGAGACTTTGAAAAATACAGGCAATTTTGCTAAAAACTTGATAGCTGAATTTTGTATAACGTTGTAGCATTTAGTTTGAATAAATATTCTAAAGGTGCATTTGTAGTAGATCAGTTAGTGACATTAAATAACCTAGAGTCTGAAAGTTATTTAAAATTCAAAAGGCATTTTTCCTAGGGGGAAAAAAAAAACAACCTGTCCCTTCTATCACAGATTACGATGTAGTTGAAATACTGTGTATTGGGACTTAAATGGTATCATTTTAAAGGCAAATGTGATTTTTAAGTAGATAAGTATAATTTTCAGTAAAAACCTTGATTTTTTTTCCATTTACTGTAAATACAGATGTTTAAGAAAACCCTAGTTCATTGGGCTAGTAAGGAAAATAAGTAAGGTTTTGCTTTTGTGACCATACCTAAAAGAAACGCCTAACTAGGCTCTGTTATTTAAGGAGTCAAAGACCAACCTGAGGTAACTGGGTTTAAGATGAGAGGGGATTGAAAGGAGTAAGCATATGTCCTGCCTGTGGGAAAGAATTACATGAGGTGAAATTACCTGAGCTGAAAGCAGTAAGAAACTGAAGTAAGAGACATATAGATGAAAAATATGTCAAATTGGACAATTCTCCCATAATCTGTTTCAACAATCTGGCTCATTTTTTTGGGGGGGGGTGGTCACACATCTGCCTTTATTGTGAGCAGCAGGTAGGACACTTCCAACAATAGTAAAAAAATTAATTTACAAAAGCAGGGATTCAGTGAAGCCACCTGGTTGGAACCCTTGGAAGCTCATACATAGATGCAACCCAGAGCAACAGGAAGAGGATTCCAAAGCCCATGAAGAGTGAGGCCACCAAGGAGATGAGGAGCTCTTTGTAGATATCCCGAATGCACGTGTCGATATCCTCATAAATAAAGAACTAGGCAGTGAAGAACATGCCAATGATCAACAGCACCAGTCAGATGGGGGGAGACAGCCAGGTTCACTGGGCTGGTGTATCTGCTCATGGCCTCAAGCTCCATTTTACCAGGCACAGGGTCATCCACAGCTCTGCCACTGGAATCTAACACTCATACTGGGAAACTACTTTGTTCCAAGTATATAGGTTATAGTAAACGTTTGATGTAAGGAAAAAAAGAATGGGTAATCAGAAGCTGCAGCAAGTTTCCATGAGTGTTTTAAGAATAGCCCAAACTGGGGCGCCTGGGTGGCTCAGTCGGTTAAGCGTCTGCCTTCGGCTCAGGTCATGATCCCAGGGTCCTGGGATCGAGCCCCGCATCGGGCTCCCTGCTTGGCAGGAAGCCTGCTTCTCCCTCTCCCACTCCCCCTGCTTGTGTTCCCTCTCTCACTGTGTCTCTCTCTGTCAAATAAATAATAAAATAAAAAATCTAAAAAAAAAAATAGCCCAAACTAACAGCAAAAATTTGCTACCCACAGCCTGTTTGTCCAAATTTGTGTTTTTTTGTACTCCTAGTGCCTACCAAAGTGCACAGAAGAAATGCCTGATAAATATTCTGTGTGTGAATCCAGTCATTTCCTTAACTATAGTTAGGTAAATATATATTCCAGTAATATCGATATATTAAAATGTACAGATACCTAAATAGCCATTTGTATTAAAAAAAACAAACAAACCATGGATGAGTTAATGCAGCGGGGGTCCTAGTATAAATTTCAGTCACATTTACCTAGGATCTTGGCATCTTTATAGATCCAACAGGGCTAGTCTTCTGAGGACATAATTTTTTTTTGAAGGAAAGAAAACCCCTGATGAAGAATTCATTCTAAAGGAAAATGGAAGAGAGCTGTTCAAATTCAGTTCAAAGGTAGTTGACACACAAGGGAAGGAAGTGGTGACTGTGCATAAGGTCATTCGGATTGTCAACCAATGTAGTTCGACTCTGTGGGACTGCAGCAGAAGAATGACTTCTCTAAACTCTCCATGGACGGTGCGTGGAGAGTCAGGTGTCAGGGGCCACCACCAAGGGTGTCCGCACCATGATCCTCAGCACAGCCTCCTATGTTCAACAGCAGCCTCTGTGCTAATGTTAAAATGTTACAGCAACCACTGCAGACTCTTCTGGGCACAAGTAGGTACATCTACCACTTTGGGTGTGAGTGGTCCTTGGCAGCGTTACCACAGAGGGCCAGAGCAGAGAAGAACAGGTGCCATGAGGAAGCCAAGCTAGCAAATCCCTCTGGGGACTCCTAGAACATATGTGGCAGGAAATGAGGAGAGGTGGACACCCCACCAGAACAGGTTTAGATGGGAACTTACAGTTTCCTTATTCTTGCTGAACTCCATTGGCTTGGGAAGTATGTCACATCTGTAACAGAGCCACAAGGAAACACAAAATGTTGTGACAAAATTCACATAATCAATTTGACAGAATGGTCTCTGCTATTTTGCTTGAATTAGAAAGAGGTAATGGGGGGGAGAAACCAACAACCCCCAAAACAAAACAAAAACAAGAACCTTAAATCAGGGACTTATTTTAGAGAACAACTTTCAAGGTATATCCTGACATTAACACATTCTGTCTCTAAACTTCCTTTTCACAATCTCTCTGTGTCTCAGTTATCAGGCACATTCAATTAGATTTAATAGACCACATTTTTTAAAGAAGGTTCTTTTGGGTTGTGGGAAGGGGGCATATTTTTGGTTTATTTGGTTGTTTTACAAATTAGCAAAATTTTCTTTGAGTTCACTACTAAGGCTAAATAAGTTAGATAGTCATTTAATCAAGATAAGCATTCTAGCTAATAAGAGTCTGCCAGAAAGCTCAGACTTAGATGTGTTTTCATAATTGGGGTGTCAATCGAAAGAAAGCCAACCTCAAAATGGTAAATTAGCAAATGCTTTATAAGTTGTCTTACTGAGGATGAACACCCAGTAAAATCTTTCAAATTGCTTTGAAGAACTGTTCCAAAGCTTATTAGCTACAGGTTATATATACAAAATGGGGACAAGGGGATACATGTTCTCCAAATGCATGTGTGTCACAAGGTATAACTTGTAATAGTTGTAAAATTTAGGGTTTTCTGATTTCCACACAGGAGAAAGACCCTGAGGTCATCTTAATACCTTATGTTTTAATCAGAGCTGATTGTTGTATACCTCTGCTTAACTGCTTTTCTGGTTCTTCCTGTTTTTGAGATCTCCTTGAGGTCACTTGAGATATTCACAGAAGCCTGACATCAGTCACCTGCTGCAGTTTTCATGCATAGTCCCCCTTTTTGGCAAATTGCAACCTGTAGGAGACAATGGTGACCAAGTATCTCTTTGTCCCAGGGCACTAGAAGGTAGATTCCTAGTTATTCTGATATATGAGGCAAACATGTCCTAAAAAGCATAACTATCTGTAAACATCTAAATTTGCTAAAGTTTAAGAATTTTATAGCCTGAAGTGTTTCGTTGTGTCTAGGTATAAACTGTCAAACTTTATACAGAACTGTATATATTATTTATAGTATCCAGACATTTGACCATCATTAGCTTAGGGCAAGTCTGAGTACACCAATGCACACAACAAGAAGTTAATTTGTATAGTAAATATATTAACAGTAAAAAGGCTAATATCTTAGCTAGAAACATTAGAATAGATTTTAACCAAGAATTTCAGAACCAAGCCATTGAC